AAAAAAAACTTTCACTTTTCCTGGTGGTGTTTCTGGTGCACCACCACTCTCATCAACGAAGAATCTATTAACCGTCTGTGATCTTCAACCAACAACAACAATTTACCTCAACCTCTGTTGTCCCTGTCCTCTCTTTCAACATAAAGCATCTGCCAAAGCTTTCTAAACTGGCCTTATCACCTCTTGCACACCAATCTATTGATGATAGTGCTGGTGCTACCGATTTGTCATTCACCGCCTCTCTCCCTCTCTCATTTTCTCATCATCAGCTCAAGCTTCCTTCAAGCTCAATGGCTTCAAGCTCGTGATTTGCATCAAGTGCAATATCTTTAAACACAAGTAAACAACATGTCTTCGCGCTTTCCATCAGATCATGAACCCGACCAGCAGACGAACAAGGACTTGACGTCCGCCGCAGCTGCTCGCTTCGATGCCCAGGAGATCATAGGCATCTCCGAGGATGACCTGGTCGACTACGACACGGCGGAGGAATTTCTGCTGCACTTTTCACGCACCGGCAAGTTGCCCTTTGTCGCCAAGTTGCTCAGTCTTCGCGAGGCCAAGGAGATTCCGCTGAACATTGACTGCAAAGGTAAGTGCGCAGTAGTCATCTTCAGTCCTCTAAAAAAATATAACACCACCACCTCTTTTGCAGGCGAAAGTAAGGCCAACTTTGGCTGGACGCCGCTGCACCTTGCCGCCTACTTCGGCCACAAAGACGTCGCTCACCTACTGCTCAACCACAGCGCCGATCTGGACATTCAAAATGAGGAGGGCGACACGCCGCTGCACAAGGCCGCCTACACCGGGCGCGATGAGATCGTCGTCCTCCTCGTCGGCCACAACGCCAACGTTTTCCTCGTCAACGGCGACGGCCTGCGGCCCTTTGAGGTGGCCAAGTCGGAGGCGATTCGCCAGATACTGCTCACCGCGGAGAAGGCGGACATCAAGCGGCGGGAGGGCCGCTTTCTGAGCGCCGCCCGGGCCGGAGATCTAAACACGCTGAAGAGGCTCCTCGAGGACGCCACCAGTCCGGTGGACATCAACTGCGTCGACCAGAGCGGCAACTCGGCGCTGCACTGCGCCTCCTACCGCGGCAAGCACGAGGCGGTGGTCTTCCTCTTGAAGAACGGCATCGACACGACGATCAAGAACCGCCGCGACCAGCTGGCGGCCAATGTCGCCTCGACGGTCTCCCTCAAGCAGCTGATTCAGGAGGTGCACCTCTCGGTGATGACGCCGGCGATGATCGCCTCGATGAAGAGCAGGGCGGTGGCCCGGTTCGAGGGGCCGCTGCTGAAGAAGGGCCGCTTCTTCGGGTGGAAGCTGATCTGGGCGGTGCTGGAGCGGGGCGTCTTCTCCTTCTTTTCGAACCGGGCGGACGCGACGACGGGTGTCAGGCGGAAGGGCTACCGCTACCTGGAGAGCGCCATCACCGAGCGGGTCAGCTCGGGGCCCACCGCCGAAGGAGCGGCTTCAGAGATGCAGATGTTCATGATCATCTTTGGCGACCGCTCGCGGGCGCTCTTCAGTCTGCCGAAGTCTGCTCAGACGGAGCTGGACTGTCAGAAATGGCTCAATGCCATTCAGGATCACATCTACTTTGGCACCAACTTTATGAAGCAGGTAAGTGTGAACTGTGACTGTGACTGTGTGAAGTGCAGGTATTTTCCCAACACACTCTACCCAACACTACCCTCCTTACATTGCAGGGCACCCGAATCACCGACTCTGACGACGAGGATGAGACGGCGAATCAGCTGCTGCCGCTCTCTTCCGTCCACGACATGATCATCACGGCAAGTGCACACCAGAAGATCCTGGAGAAGCACATCGCCGGCCTGCAGCACCTCCTCGACGATGAGTCGCTCTTTTCAGGTAAGAGTAATGGTTGCTCTTTGCTTCAGCAAACGGGCAATTAAATTAATTGCGTCACAGCACTGCTTTTGGAGGCCATGTGTACTCGCTCACTGATTAGTCATTTGCCTAATGATCGTCTCCACTTTCACTCTCTCTCTCTCTCTCTCTCTCTCTCTCTCTCTCTCTCTCTCTCTCTCNCTCTCTCTCTCTCTCTCTCACTCTTAGCTGACGACGTGCTGCTGGTGGACAATGCGAGCATTCGCAGCGTGAACAGCGGCCTCAACTCCATCTCCAACTCGACCATTCCCTCCATCAAGTTTCACCTCAACCTCATCCTCGAGTCCTCGCGGAACGCCAACTCCTCGCTGGTGCAGTGCCTCACGGTGGTGTCGCATCAGAACGAGGTGAGTTTAATTTTTGTTGAAATTTAAAAGTGCTAAAACATTTCCATTTTTCAGGCACGGCAGACGCTCATTCGCCAGGAGCAGGAGAAGGTGCGCGTCCTGGAGGAGGCGCTGCAGGTGCTGGCACGCGAGCACCACGACCTGGAGCGCTCCATCATCGGCAACAGCATCAGCATGAATGTAAATAACAACAACCCCAACTGCGACAGTTTGTACTTCAACGGCTGTTCGGTGATGCTGTCGCCCCAACAGGAGCAAAATACGGCCCTGCCGCCGATGCCGCCGATGCCGCCGCTGTCCTTCTCGCGGTCGCGCTCCCTCGCCGGCCTCTCTGACACGACGGCCACCGACATGGACGAGTACTTTGACGCCTTTGACGATGAGGAGGAGAACGTCGTGGATGCCAATGTTTCAGAGCGAACTTTGGCAGGAGAGCGAGGAGGGGCAGCCAGTGCGATCGATGGCTATCGCAGTCCAACAGCAGATGCCGGCCATCTGTCCCTCTCTCCGGAGCCGTCTGCAGAGCTTCCGGCCGCCTTGAAGCAGCACTCCAACACCGGCACCTTTCACACGGCCCGCGACCAGACGGCCACCGCCGCCACCGCCAACGACGTGACCATCAACGACTCCATCTCGACGCTCTCCTCCGACGAGGACGACCGTACGCTCGCCTCCATTGAGATGAACTTTTCCCGGTAAGTGCTGCTGATTTTTCTTACTTTCCTTTCTTTGGTCAGATGTTTCAAATTGCCCCCTCCCCTCCTTTTTGTGTCTATTTATATCGGTGACGAATGCGCTGACTCGGCCGGCCGTCCATTACCGGTAGTGTCATGGTAGTGCACTCACCGCTTTCCTTTTCAGTTATGAGTGTGTGTGTGTGTGCCGGGCTGTAGGGGCCATTTGTCATCACGACGACGGCCACTGCCGTCACCAGTTTTGCTGTCCCCTCTGTCCAGTACAGCCGGTACAGCTGAGGAGACAGCCGAGTCTCCTCGACTCGAGTCGACTATTTGTAAACATAAATGTCCCATCTATCGATTTGTAATTAGTAATGGATTCGTCGTTTGCCATTTCCTCTTTGGCGCTGCCGCTTCCACTGCCACTGCAGTTTGTTGTCTTGAACTGGGAAGAGAAATGGAAAACTGAATGGCGACAGCAGTGGCAGCTGCAGAAGCTGCAGAATCGACTGCCCCGTCGAATCGAATCGTGTTTCGCTCTAGTAATCTTTGAATTCTCTCCCACTCTTCACTGACACGCATCGACGCTTGATGTGCGGCCATTGTTGTCTACTTTTCTGCTACCACCACTTCTACCACTTCTCTTAGAACTACTACTACTACAACAACTGTAAGAACATGCGACTCATCGCGGGCTGTTGTTGTTGTTGATGTAGCAGTAGGCTCTTCCCTCTCTTGTTTCCTTTCCTCCCTCCCTTTCCCCTTCTTTTCTGTTGTTTCATCGGCCAATGATTTATCTAATCTCGCCCTGTTGGTGGTGGTGGTGGTGGTGGTGATAAATATGACCAACTGGGCACTGGCCTGCCTTTCTCGCTGATTACTGATGAGGAGAAAAGCGAGAGGGACGCACCGACCGCTCTTGGCTGCTGCTGCCGTTGCAGTTTTTCTCTCTTTCCTTTTCTCGCAGTCGTCGACTCATCAGTCTGCCCAAATTGGTAATGGGCCAATTTGTTGACTTCTGTCGATTGCTGCTGCCGTTGCTGCTGCTGTCGTTGCCGCTAATTCTGCCCTGGACAGCGGCGTAACCAAGGGCTGCCAACTGACCACTATAGCGAAGACGGCAGTCTGCCGGATACGCCGTCGATTGGTCGATAGTATTGGACGAATGCTCACGAATGCTGCTGCTGGCGGTGCTGCTGTGTGTGCCTATTATTTTAACTGTTTAATTATGAGACTGACTTTTGCTTTTTCTTCTCTCTGTGTTTGCCTTGCTCTGGCCCCAGCAGCCGTCACCATCATCATCATCATCAGCGTCTGCCAGCTCAGCCTGTACAGACTGCAGCAGCAGCTTGAGACCCTGCAGAAGAAGTTGTACTAGTCGTCGTGTATACACACACACTAGCTAGTATGTCTATGTGTGTGCTCCTAATGGCATTAACATCATTAGGCCATTAGGCCACATGACTGCCATTCTTGAGACGAGTGGCATTAATCATACAGGCGGTTCTCTGTGCCAGTACAGTGGAGTACAGTACACAGAGACAGTGGCAGACATACACACACACACACTCTAAGCGCCCCAACTGATCGAAGAACTTTGCTCGACTTTGTTGCTGCCAAGCTTCCAAGAGCTGCCTAGAGCTCTTGTGCATAAGCTGCTTGGCCCCCGAGCGCCGAGTTTGGTTTTATTCCTTCTCTCTCTCCTTTTTCGCCTGCCTCTTTCTCCTCTTTCGCCAACGCATCTATCATTGACGACGGAGCCCATTGTCCGAATCGATTCTTCTTTCACTTTCCATTTCCCTCCTCCTCTTCGTTTCCCATTTCTTTTTCACTGCTTTTCCCTGATTCCCATTCGATTTTTGGAAGAAGAAGCAGCAGCAGCAGCAGTAGCCAGAAAATCAGGCAGACAGTGGCAGTGGCGGTGGTGCATAATCCCCGGGTTCGACCCAGTAATTACTGGCCTGATGGAGCTGCTGCTGCTGCCACACCATATTCCACTGCTGTTGCCTGCGCTCCCAGCCACTCGATTGGGCCACTCAATTTTCGCATAAACTTTCGATTTTGGCTGCTTCCACAGACAGAGACAGGGAATTCAATTTTCTCCCTTTTTGCGGCGGCGGCGGCGGCAGTCGATTCTCGTTCTCTGTCACTCTCACTTGCTTGCTCTCAACTGACTTTGACAGGCACCGTTTTTTCCTTTTCTTTTTCACTTTCGAGTCCAGTGTGAGCTGGGTGGCTGGCTAGGCTGATTGGTGGCTACCAGGGAAGCAGTAGCAGACGGTCGGCCATCCTCCGCAAACTTTGCTCTAATTATTTTCTCGCTTCTCCATTGTCGTCCATCAGCAGCAGGAGCTATTCATTAGCATATCGGCACTATCAAAACGATCTGTTGTTTTGGGGTTGTGCTGCTTCGGTGTGTTTTGCTTTCGTTGCCCACTGTGTTTTCCCCTGTGTTCCTTACTGCACTATCCACTTAGAACAATAAGCAGAAGAAGTTGGCCAAAGTAAGTCTTCCTTTTGTGCCGTGCAGTGCAGTGCAGGCTGTCAGGAACGGCTGTGCCACTACGGTGTGCCGAGGAGTGTGCATCATCATTTCAATGCAAGCCAATCATCGGTCGTTAGCAAAGTAAGTGAGCGAACGGGCGTTTACGTAGAGAATGGCACGTATAGACCACTAACCCGTTGATTGTCCTCTACTATCTCCATTTCCATTTCGGTGTATAAGTGTGTCGGTGGCGTGCAATTGAGACCAATTACGGAACACTCACTCGCTCACTCAGGCAGTCGGTCGGTCTCTTATTATTCCTCTGGTGANAAAGTAAGTGAGCGAACGGGCGTTTACGTAGAGAATGGCACGTATAGACCACTAACCCGTTGATTGTCCTCTACTATCTCCATTTCCATTTCGGTGTATAAGTGTGTCGGTGGCGTGCAATTGAGACCAATTACGGAACACTCACTCGCTCACTCAGGCAGTCGGTCGGTCTCTTATTATTCCTCTGGTGAATCTCAATCCAAGCGACAAACCTAACCGCAGCGGCACTCTATTCGAAGACTCACTCGATTTCATCTTCTTCTTCACTCTGTCCTCCCCTTTAGTACGGCCAAGTGCATTTATCGGCTGCATGCACACGAATGGGCCCGTTCAGCAGCAGCAGCAGCCATTCTTTTCTTTCTTTCGTTTTTTGGCGGTAGACACGGTAGTCGCATATCTCATCTCTAGTCTGTCATCGCCATTTGTAGCCACTGTAGTACTTTGTACACAGTGTCTCGTCTAAATGCGAATTGAATTTGCCCGCGCGGATTGGTTGCTTGGCTGACTGGCTGGTGCTTGTGTCTATTACTTTTTCTTCTTTTCTTTTTTCTTTTATTCACTTTGCTTCGCCTTACTTCACCGCCTTACTTCATCTTCAAATCTAGCAAAAGAAAAAGGAAAAAGATTTGCCGCTCTTTTCACTTGCTTTTCACATCTCCCGCCATTGAGGATGATGATGATGATGATGGCGGTGGCGGTTTTCTTCTTTTTTTGCTTTATTTGGTTAGCGTGCTGCGCGTGAGATTGCCCGAGTCATTGACTGGCTGCTGCTGCTGCTGCCGACACTGTCACAAGCAGTGGACTGCGCAATGAGCCAGCTTCGGCTTCCTTTCTAAATTGGCGGCAATTGAGAGGGGTAATAAGAATTGACAAAGAGGAGACAGGGGAACGCTAAACTGGCGTG